TAAATAAAAGTTGATTTTTCAAAATCATGTACTTCTTCGAAAAGATGCTAAACTGTTTTTATTATCATCATATTACATGAAGTACATACTCTAAAGTAATTGCGCATATTCTCGAGCACAATACACAATTAAGATTGTAAATGTTCCTATTAAAAAGTGACAACTTACTCAAACATTCAAAAACATTTTGATCAGAATCGAACATTCTCTTTTTAGTGTTATTTATTTAGAAGATTGACAAACTACATAACCTATTGTTTGCAAATCATTAACTATTTTGGTTGTTGCAATGATTTCAAAGTTATTTGTCTTAATACTTTTCCCAATCAATCGAATTTGTAATATTGAGAAGCATATCACTTTGTCAAAATATTTCAGATGAGAATAATTTGAATTATATTATATTATGATACTCTTAGTCATATGAAGTTTATTACTATGACGTCATTATTAAAGTTTGTGGTCCATATCTATATATATATAAAAAGTTTTACCATTTTTCAAAAATGGCAAGTCAATTGTGGTCAATACTTGGTCTGCATTTAATGTTTTCCTTTAATGGCAACTTAAAAAAAATCCTATCTCCTATAAGAAATTCAAATTCTGGATAAGATATTTATTTAGATAGTATACAACAACTAAATCTCCTATTATGTAGGAAAAATATATCCAAATCAATTTAGAATTAATTGCAACTCCTTCCAATTCGTATTTTTTTTTTTTTTTTTTTTTTGTATCATCAATTAATTGTTTATGTTTAATGTGAAACAACATCCAATTATTTAGAAAAATTAAAATTCAAATCACTTTTATGTTGTGATTTTCACTTAATAATCCAGTTTTTGAATTCAAATTGACCTCAATTCCGTCAAATTCGCCATAAATGTAGTTTCCAAATACTATTTCATATTTAATTTATCCCCACAACAATGAATTCATTTTCTATTTTCCTTCAATTATATTGTAAAATACCATTTGTGTTTAATCCCCGCAAAAGACTTCTTAAACAGGAGCATTTCCTTTAGAAGAGCTTGATCTCGAAAACGATATATCCTTCATTCATTCTATCGGCGAGAAAATAGTCTATGATCGAATAGGAAATACATTTCAATATGGATTGGAATGTCAGTTTTCTTATCTATCTTTTACTATAATTTAATGTCATAATAGTTGAAAGTATTTATTTATTTATTTCTATTTTATTGTCATTATTTATTTTAATATGTCTAACATTAAATAAAAAAAATTAATACACAAAATAAACTAATATTGTTGCATATGGAAGATAATTAATGGTTTGTTTGAATTTCGTGCCAAATTTTAGTTTGATATTGGTCAAATGTTAGTATATATATACATATATAAGTAAATTTATATGCAATCATTTGAAAATTAGCAATATATACTGTAATTATTGAATTATTCTACTTTTCCCCCCTTTTGTTATCTACATTGTTAATGGTTCAAACTTGCACATATTTTGATTTATTTATTCTACATATAGTCTGTAAGCCTTCTTAATTTATTATTGCTTCCATTTTTTTAATCAAAACCAAGTTGTTGACCGTAAATAGAATATGTATACAAAGAACTTCTCCTAATGAAATTAAATTCGTATCATAAATCCATATGATATCACCATATACGCATACAGATTTTGACTTATTAATAAAAGAAATATTTTGAAAACAAATGATAATATAACCATCTAGCCACATACACATACCCGATTTTAGTTAAAATTGTACTAGATTTATTTTACAATAATTCGTATCAGATTTTTTGTAAAAGATTTGGTAGCAAATATGGAATATATACGCTTAAATGTAACAAAATTTGACATTCTTATCCCTTAGAAACAATAATATTATGAATTCTTATCACATACCCGATCCTTTATTCTATATTTCAAGCTGAATAAAAAATTCGAGCTTTTTTACCATGTCGAGTTCGTTGTTTGAAATTAGGGGCATTGAACTTATTTTGGAAATCCGACTTTATTTGTGCCTTGAGTTGTTTCATTTTTCGAGTCAAATTCTTTTTTTTTTTTGCAAATTTATGAGCCTCTGAAAATTTATATTATTCGTAAATTATGTTGAGTTTTGAATCCCCGTTGCTGAGGAGTTGCGTCAAAACGGCCACTGGCTTCGCTGTTCCCAACCTCTGCTCCAACGACTAATCGCAGATCAACCGAGTTCAGGCCACCAGGCGTGCACCCGCCCTCAGCTCGCTTCCCAGCGTGGAAGCAGCCCAGAAGAGAAGCCCAGCACGAGGAAGCCCAGACGTACACATATGTTGTCATATTATCGTTGTTTTCCATATACGTCTTCAGGTTTTCCAAATATCAATTTTGTAATGTTGGTGATATTTTATTACACATATGCATCAATCTCCCTATAAGTACATGTCATTAAATTGTCTTTAATTTGTTTCCATTAATTTAAGCGCCAAAGATGGCTCTTTCCCTACCAATAAGATGAATGTGAAGCTGAAACAATGCAAATTATCGGCACTGAAATCTCGAATGATATATTAAAGCGAACTACGATTTAGCAATGCATTTATCCTCAAGATTAAATTAAGAAATCACATTTTTCTAATTGTCATGCACATGTCCAGTAAACTAAATTTAGCTTCAGCATATTCTCTGTATTTTTACATTTATATTGCATATATTAAAATCTAAATGCATATTTATCAGCACATCCTATGAGCTTATGTCCAATGATGACTAACATGATATAACTGATGATAAAAATAAAAAATACACCAACTTTGAACAAAAATTAAGATAGATAGTCTGTTCATAAACAAGTAATAAAAAACAAACAAACCAATTTTGTGTCGAACCTAAAACATTGCAATTATTATTTTTTTAAAAAAAATAGAAATTATTAAGAAAAAGGTTAAGCTTATATACAGTCTTATTTCTGATTTATTTGATGGTCAACTTAATAATTGTTGTATGTATTTTTTGTTTTATTTGGAGAAAATTGTGAAATATGGAATATGAAAAGGGAGAAGGGAGAGAAATTAGATGGAATCGTTAAATTATGTTTCTATCTATAAATTATTGAACTCACTATTAAGGAAGTTACATGATTCAAACTAAAAATATACTTTATTAGTATAGCTGGAAATGTAAAATAATACATAAAATAAGCGATTTTGCTATGAAGCCAACAATTGGCTCCATAGTGGAGCCAACCTTCTATATACAACAAGTAAACCTACCATATTCTCTGATTACTTAAACAACACAAATAATCTTATTAATATGGTATGGTTTACTTGCTGTATAGAAGGTTGGCTCCACTATGGGGCCAACTGTTGGATTCATAGGAAAACCGATCAAATTGGAATAAAAAAAGTTAAACTTTAAATAAAATATAATTTATAATATAGTTGGAAATTAGAAAAGTTGTCCAAGCGTGGGGACAATATTTTTGGCGACAACAATCAACATGCCAACCACGAGAGATGCCCAGCAAGGGAGCCCAGTTGAGTGAGGCCCAGTTTCCGCAGTCCTTTGTGCAACCCGCGTCTGGCCTGAGTTGGCCCATGCTCCTCACAACGAGTTACCTAATAATCAAACTAATAAAGTTGTGTACAAAAATGTTTTTATTAATATAATATTTTTTAGTGGCGAACATTTTATGATAAATAATATTCGTATGTATTAAACTCTCATATATCCTAATGCATGTCAAATTACAATATTCTCCAGATTTATATATCCGTGCATCGCACGGGATACGCACTAGTTATGATTATATGAAATCATTATTTATGATTACCAATTTCTTATGGAGAAAATAATTTAAATGCTAGCTAAAAAAAGTAGTAACTATAAATAAAAGATTTTTGTTTCTTGATATTGGTATTCATGATACTCATACTTTTCTAAGAAAATACAAACTTTTTTCTTTCCCATTTGCATTAACATTCTATTTATATGCATTGTTTTTTTTTTTAACTTGTTTGATAGTAATAATATATTTGATAAAAGTGTACTTTTATATTGT